ATATATATATATATATATATATATATATATTAAAGTAGCAGATTAAAAGGATAAATTGAGACAAGCAACAAGTAAAAAGAAAAAGTTGCGACATCTGATAAACAAATAAATAGGACAAATTGGAACAAGTAAAAAATAAAGAAAGATTTTTTTCAGAGAAACGAGTGAAAAGGATGCGTTGGAAAAAGCAGCGGCTAAAGAAAAATTCACAGAAAAAAAATAAATTTCAAGCATAATTTTGGCAAATTTAAAATACTAAAAGTATGCTTAATTAAGTAAATTAATTTCCAAAATGTTTCGGAAAAGTGCAATAAGCTATGAAATTTTAACTTTAATTCAAGAACTAAACTGAGCTTCACATTGTCTTCCCTTCTTTTAAATAAAAATCATAATAAGCCTATTGAAAGGGAGATAATATTAAAATTAACACATTTTCTTATTCTGTTAGCTACCATTTGATTTCTCGGATTATACATATGTAATCCGAGAAATCAAATGGTATATATACATATAACGACCTGGTTTCATGAACAAATGTTGAAAATTGAGAAAGATTTTTAATTAACGCATTCACTTAATTTAAACGTGATTAAAGAAATTTCATTTTAAAGAATTATATTTTCACAGACTTAAATTTTAAAATTTTTTTTCCACAATTAAGTTCTGACACAAATAATTGAAATGTTTTCAAGAATTATAGTATGAAAGAAATACATATAAACACATATTTTTAAAATAATATCAACAAATATTTTTAAAATAATATCAACAAATATTTTTAAAATCATTTTAAATTATTCTTAAAAAAAATTAAATTTTTTTGAAAAAAAAATTAGGCGTAAGGACATTTTTAATTAGATCTAAAAAGAGATGTTTATGAATATCTCTTCAATATTCCAATGTATTTTTTTAAAATTGATCTACATTAATTACCTAATATGTAAAGATAATATTAATAAATAAGGTTCTTAGCTTCAAAATGAAAATAAATATTAGAGTGCCCTCTTGTTAGTATTCCCTCCTTTTATTACTTATTGTCACTAAACATAAAATATTTCTTTTTAAACCATACAAAATTTTTTTATTTTTTATTTAGATATTTCAATATTCCTCTTATAGTGATAAATACAACTTATAACTCTTTTTCAAGTATGTTTTCCCAGTTTAGTCCTTAACCAAATTTAAAAAAAAAAAAAATGTTTTTAAAACAAATGTTTCGTCTAGGACATTTTTAATTAGATCTAAAAAGAAATGTTTATGAACATCTCTTAAATATTCCAATGTATTTTTTTAAACTTTCAAAACGTCAAAAAACTTTCAAAAAATGTATTTTTTTCAACTTCCAATGTATTTTTTTAAAATTTTCAAAAAGAACTTTATTTTTTTAAAAACAAATGTTGCTTCTAGGACATTTTTAATTAGATTTAAAAAGAAATGTTCATGAATATCTCTTAAATATTCCAATGTATTCTTTTGAACTTGATCTACATTAATTACCATTAAAATATATAGCTAATATTAAAGAATAAGGTTCTTAGTTTCAAAAAGAAAATATATGTCTTAAAGGTTTTGTCCCCTTCTTATTATTTATATCTTTTTAATGTTCCTTATTTTTATTATTTATTTGCAATAAACATAAAATGTTTTTTTCTTATACCAAACAAAAAAGTTTTTTTTTTTACATAATCAATATTTGTCTTTTATTTATTCTTATATTATTATTCTATATATTATTAGATATTTTATTCTTAATACCTTCTTACTATATTCTTACTTCAATATCTGTCTTATATTTATTTTTATATTCTTATTACATTTATTCTTGCATTCTTATTATACTTATTCTTATATATTACATTCTTAGATACTTCAATATAGTGATAACTGCAACTTATTATAACTTTTCGTTTCAAGCATGTTTTCCCAGTTTAGTTCAAACTACAAATTCGCTCTCTCGCAATAAGTTCGCAGAAATTGTTTATACAAGTGTTTCAGGTAAAACATTCTACCTCTTCTTTTTTTTTTTCTTCTTCTTCTCCACATTCCATATTATTCTTGGCATCATCTTCAGAATGAGTATGAATTCTCTCTCTCTCTTTTGACAGACAGTTGAAGATATGAAAGAGCAGACACAGGGAAAATGTAGAGGGAGACGATGATCCGTCTCAAAGAAGACCCCTGATTGGCTAGAAAGACACGTGGTCCACGAACCCACACTACCCACCCCCGCCACTCTAAATCTCAAACCTTACAGTCTGCACCTCCGAGTTCTGGTGGAGTTGATATCGCTTCTCTGTTCTTTTGGAATATATTTAAGCGCCCCCTCTTAACAAACAGTGTGCGCGCGGCCCTATAGGCATTTATTCAAGTTATATAAGTTCGAAGTGGATTTTTAAGAAGTTCGAAAATTTATTTATTTATACTGAAGGTGGAAAAAAAGTGTGTTGTTTTTACTTTTTTGTTTGTGATAAAGCTGTGGAAATCATGGAAGTATGTTTGATAATATTTTTGGAGGAGTTATGAAAGAAAGTTTTAAATATGGAGTTCGATTTGAATCTCTGAATGGATATAACCGGGTATAAAAATTATTCCGCGTTATTTTGGCGTACAATATGAAGAAACGAATGAAATCACAATCATGAAACAATATTGCAGAAACCGTTTGCAGAAGAATTTTATTAAACAGCTAAAATTTTAAACTTAAGATTTATATTTTATTCAAGAAAAAAAAATATAAGTAAATATTTTAAGTTGATATTTTAAGTGATAAAATCCAGAGTGCTGCCATCTAAATTGACCGCAACCGGATGTACTTTGTCGACGAAGAGCTTTAAAATGAGATTGTAAGACGGGAAACATGTTGAAACCCCGGCACATCCTCAGGTGACGGCACACACACCTCTGGGATCGCTCCAGAAAATTCAATACGTGTGTTCTAGAACAAAATTCCTGAAGTCGTTCACCGAGTATCAAATACCCGACAGGTGGGCAGCGCGACATGTCAGAAGTATACGTAGACATTGTCGACGCTCCATCCTCGTCTTACGATCTCGAAACTTGCACGACTCACGAGAACGACATGGATGAAGATGCGGATGACGAGGCGGATAACGATGACCGCGACTTGTACAGCGATGGTGACGATGATGCGTTTAGGGATGACATAACCACCATACCCCTCGATTTGGAGGGATCTATTGTAGTGGGTGGTGCAGTCATCCGCCGTGGTTCAATTTGTAGTTGCAATAGCAGCTCCAGTAGAAGTAGCTGTGAGACATGCGACCACCACCGTCACCATCACCATTCAGAAAGCTGTACTTCTTCCACTAGAAGTACCAGGGGTTATTCTCCCACTAGAGATAGTTTTGGATCTACTGAGGGATTGGACGAAAGTCTTCCGTATCCCACTTTCCGTCCCGTGACGTTGTTTTGCTTGTCACAGACGTCACATCCTAGAGATTGGTGTTTGAAATTAGTGACTAATCCATATCCTTTTTTTATTTAAAAAATAATCATTTGTGATATTAATTGCAGTCAAAAAAGTATGCAAGATTTCAGGTAAGATTTTATTGCCCTTTATACTATTGATTTTAAAAAATAATTTATCGTTCTTGAATTCTTTAAAATTGGTTTTATATTTAATTGTAACTTGAATTATGATTATTAATATGTGGAATTATTTATATGTGTCAATATTTTATAACAATTTACAGATCTTATAAAGTGAATATACCTTAGTGGGATTCATAGTATAGTTTATTTTTTAACTTTGTATATGTATAGAAGTATTTATTGTGTACTCCATGGAATAAGCTGCAAATAAAATGGAAGACAGTCCATCTCCATGTTCTTCCATGGAAGACAATCCTTCGGTTTTCAGCTAGTTGCACTATAAGGGTTATTTTTAAAATTTGCTTAAATATCCGAATATCAGAAAAAAACCACGTTCTATCATTAATATCGATAAAGGAAATAGTCTTTTGTATCTGACAAATATATCAACTTCTTAGGCTTATTAGCCCATAGAATTTTCTCAAATATTTAAATAAGTAGCAAAATGTACACATTAGAATATCAAGACATGAGAATAAGTAAAACACATGTTTATAAAATACCTGTTAAGCTAGAAGTTGTGTCTTTAAATGCTTGTGAAAACAAAGAACAATTACTTGCTTTCCTTCTGTTTTATGATCTTTTAAAAAATTGGAGAGAGAAGTTTTGAAAGCATCAACATTTGAAAAATCTATTTTTTACTTAGCACGCATTGATTTAGAAAAAAAAATCAGTTAAATCTGTTTATCAATCCATTAGAATCGATTAGGAATAAGATAAAAAAAAAGGAATTATTTAGTTACTATGCAAAAATACCTAAGGTTAAAATGTCATTGATTTCATTTTTACCGCTTAAATCAGACATTTATGCATTCTTATTTAATAAGTTTTATTAATTTTCATATAAGTAATTTTTCATGGTTTCATCTTATTAATTCTGATTTGGGATGTTAAGGATATACATTGTGTTTTGTAAGGATCATCGTTCCTAAATATCTTTTAGATCACTGCCTAAAGCCCCGAAAATCATCCCCCAAAAGTAAGCCCCAAAAATCAAAATTACAGTATGCCTATTTACAATTATACTGTAGAACCGAGACGATAATATATCTGTGCATGTGGCATTATTTGTGTTTTTTATACGTTGTTCTTTATGTGTATACTATTTTTATTTCACATTGAACAAGTATTCTATTATTATGTTTAAGGGGAGATGGCTACGGAGCACCCTGTATTTTCAGTATTGAATATTCATACATAACATACTGTACTTTATGAATTAAAAATGTTAAATTTGTCGGATTTCACGCATTGTACTGGTTTTTAACCCGCCTACCGAGTTTTATTTGCCAACTTGTTTAATTTCAGAATTTAAGTACTTTTTTTACGAGACAAAGATATGCTGAATATTTTTTGCTTTATCTTGATTTTGTTTAGATTTCCCATTAATGTTTAAATGAAGTATTAGGTTTTTTTTTTCTGGGTCACATTTGCTTCTAAATTAGTTTATGTCCATATGGGAGTGCTATTAGTAGTTCACAATTACTGAATATATACTGTTGTATATACGTTATAACATTTTTCGCTCTTCTGCTGAAATTCAGTGACCAGTTTAAAATATAAATCATTCAAATCTCTAAACTTAAAAGCAAATATTTTAAAAATAGGACAAAATGAACCGAATGGTATTCATCCAGCGTTATTCCATGCTTTTTATCATAGAGTAATTCATAATATGTAGTATGAATGCTATAATTTTCGATTTAGCATTTTATAAATGTGTATCATAGTTCATGTCTTTGATTTAGTGTTATTATGATTTAGGCTTGTCTGATTCAGTAAATGAACAGTCTCGTAGTTTTAAAATCAGTTCTTAATTTTACTTGTTACAAATACAAATATATAATTCATAAATATGATGTTGATAATGGTGTGTTAACTTTACAAATTAAGGTTATATCAAATAAATTTACAGTTTTAGGATTGTTTTGATTGAATATTTTTTGATCCTCTAGTCAAAAGCATTAAGTATCATTCTTAAAAATAAACAAAAACATGCTATTCATTTATTTATTTGCTGAATTAACCACGTTTAAAATGAAAAAAAAAAAAAAAAAAAAAAAAAAAAAAAAAAAAAAAAAAAAAAACAGTGAAAATATCCAATCGAATCTTATTTATAAGGAACTAATTTATAATGAACTAATTTATAACTAATTTATAATGACTACATAAGCAACTAATCAACCAGCCAGAATTATGTCAGTGATAGAATTCGATGAACGAATACCACTAGTTGATTCATTGCAGTTTTGTGAGAAGTCGGGAGAGCTGTATTAAGATCATCGTACTTTTGATGATCGGGAGAGCTGTATTAAGTTCACCGTCGTGGTAGCTCATATGTTGCCATTAGCAGTCGAGTGTATGCAGGCTGACGTTGTGGGTGATCGAGACTGAGTAGCAACAGTGCAAGGTGGTGGATGCTGTAGCAGTCACAAGTAGCAAGTTAACTGTTCAATTTGGACCATCCATCGAAGTAGACGTGTTCAGATCGAAATGAGAGTTACTGTCAAGATAGGCGTGTTCATATCGAAGTGGGAGTTTCTGTCAAGGTTGGCATGTTCACATCTCGTTCCGGTCGCCAATGCGGGGAGAGTTGTTATCGACAATGTCATCCTTCATCTATGAAAAGGTACCCCATCATAGAATCTAATTAACATGTCTTATATACTAGCGAATTGGAATTGTATTTTTGTAGTGGTAGAAACACTACAATTCATGTTTTTATATTCTTAAAGGTAACTTAAGTATTTACTATTTTTCTTTTAATTACTTTTTTCCTTTAATTATTTTTTTCTTTCTGAAATTATACAATTTGTTTTTATTCCATTCAGGGAAAATAATACCTCATCTACAAGTTAAAATTTTCTCACTTCGTCTCTTATAATATGCTAAAACGTTTTTTCTAAACTCTTTAAAATTTTTTGGAGTCGATTTCTTATGAGGTTCCAATGGTTAAATATAGTTTGATACGATTTAAATAACATCAGTTTTTTTGGATACTTTAAAAATAAGGTATGTGATAAAACTGTCAATAGTTAGTAAAAAAGAGCTTCTTCCCATTTAATAACAAAATACATGAGTTCTGATTTGTTCAAAAGTAAATATATATACGTATATATATATTTTAAAATTCTAATTCAAATTCTGAATATGAAAGATAACAAATTTATTTGGCACGGTCTCAAAATTTTAGTATAACCTATAAAATATTTAAAATAATAATAAAAAAGAAACTAAGAGTTAAAATGGGAATAAAATCATCTCATTGAAACGCAGACATTTTAAATTTATTCATTTGAAAAATATTTAATATGTTGCGCTAGTTTACTTTTAATTCTGGCAACAAAACACTGAAACATTTAAATGGTATTGACATTTATTTTAAATGCTTTCTAACGAAAAAAACTATTTAAGTTAAAAACAATATTTGTAATCAATAAACATTTCTTTAAGGTGAATATATTTAATGCAATAGAATTTATCAAACCTCTAATTGAAAAAAAGCAAAACATGTTTGCTCTACATAGTTAATGTATAATATCATGTAAAATTTGAAACAAATGAATAAGTAAATTTATTTCAAATTTACGCGACGCAATCAGTTGTTTTAGTTAGGATTCTATTTATCTCTGCCCAGTCTATGCAGCCATATTTTCCGTCGTTTTCTATTGCGATCTCCAACAGGTAAACGATATAATTTAAAGCCTAAGTTTGACTGATTTGAACACCCAAATGCGCAACAACCAGTCATTATAAATTTAAAAGTATCGTAGTGTATCTACCACTACAAAAGTATAATTCCAATTCACTAGTATATAAGACATGTTAACTCGATACTATGAGGAGGTTCCTGTTCCTATTGTTACTTTCCTATGGTTTTACCTATGGTGAGGTACAATGTCAACTTTCATCTATAAAAAGATACTTCCATAGAATCGAGTTAACAAGTTTTACATACTAGGAAATATATTTTTGTAGTGGTTATATTTTTGTAGTGGTAGATACACTACAAGTATGAACCAAAAAAAGAAAAAAGAAAAGCGAATATAAAAATAACAGAATGACACTTCACCGTTTAAACTAGTCAACAAAATGGCGATAGTTTACCCATGTGATTGCCTACAGCCAATCAAACTCGAAAGCAGGGCAAAGGTCGCAAAGAAAAGAGTGACGATACTTTATCTAAGTAATCCAGGGCTTTATTGGTTATTTTTTTTTTTGGAACCCAAAGGTCCTTGGTTGGAATCCTGTTGGCAACTACCGAACACCTTTCTTACTCTTTCCCCTTCGCAACCTTTTGAAACTTAGCATAATGAGTAATCAATGAGTATGTTGTTCCAATTTTGAATACATGGTGTTTCAAATTTCGACTATTAATTTGTTTCGGAGCTATTATGATGCATTTTTGCTCAGTTTTGGGCAATCCTTTTTTACAGTATTTTCCACTTTGCTTAAAGAGCATTTTTGATTAAATATAATACTTAAACATCGCATTCAAAATAATTTAATAAAGGAATTCATATAACATTGAACAAGCGATAAAAAATGTATAAATTAAAATTAAAGCCTCTCCTTAGATTAATAGGTACTGTAATCATAAAAAAAGGTACTTTTATACTTTATTCTCAGTTTCCTTTGCATAAAAATGGTCATGTAATCAACAAATTCGATAAAAAAGACCCCATTTTCTACGATGGAAAAATAGATTTCGAAACAGTTTTCCATAACTTCAGTTTACTAAGGTTATTGAAATCCGCGCTTTTGCTTCGCTAAATAAATGTCATTATAAATAACTACATGATATGATAATATTTTAACCATATGAAGTTCATGATAGAAGACAGGATTTCAATAGATTTTTAATCATAAATATT